GTTATATAGGGTTTAGGGTTTAGTACCTAGAGGACAACCAAGTGACAGTTTAAGTCCGTCTCTTCGTGTGCATGCAAGAAGCAAAAGGCTTGGAACAGCAGGCTACAGCGCTTATATCACATCACAAAGGTAGAAGAATTGGCTTAACACCATTCAATATGTCAGTGAAAACATTGGCAATTTCAAGCCTCTAGAGTGGATAATCAAAGTAGGGGAAGGGTGTGCACGCGCGGCAATGCTGAGGACATGTATCCAGGTTCTGCAGGCCTGAACTGAAGAGCCCCGCAGTAGACGATCACCAATAGCACCAAAAGACTCCCACATGAGCCATACTATCTAAACTCCTCAAAGGGGGTTAGATATGGGATTATATAGGGGAGCTACAAGGCTTATTAAGGGGGATCCTAGGAGTTCAGTCTATGGCTCACATAATCAACTGTGGTATCAAGCCGTTGCTTGTGACATCTACATAGTCTGGCAAGGGACCCACGAGTACAACTGCCCTTAAACCACGGGAAGGTCCTAGGAGCTGTCCGTTTCCTGGTTCCAAAATACCATGTCTATTTGGTGCTGCTGATCCTTTACAAGAGTCCCTGGCCCTGAACTCCAAGATTTAACAACCTCTTCAGGGAGCGCGTAGCGTGAAACATTAGCAATATGTAGGTCCAGACCCCTATGGGGTTGGATGTGTCAAAGACATGGGTAGAGCAATTTCATCATCGCCTCGTAGACTGTGTCGACTTTGTGGCGCAGACAAAAGCTCTGGCTGAAAGCATAAATTAGGTTCTTTGGGCTCAAAACTGGCTTGAGCATCGCGGCCCTCTTGATGCCCATGTACACTTTGGAGCTCCAGCTGCACCTGCATCTGCAATTGCGTGAACTTGACTAGGAGGGCTTCGAAATGGAGGATCCAATCGCGCTTCATCTGCACAACCTGGTTCTGCATGGACTTTGTTGCTAGCAAGGCTGCCACAGTATCACTCTTGGTGAGGTCCCCACGAATCTTCAACAAGCCCTGGACCACTTCTTGAAGCTGAAGAGTTCCGCTCCCGTCAGCATCTATCACCTCAAGATCGCGCAACAAAGAAAAAGGCATGTTTCTAGTTTAGACGGGCTTAGCTCCCAGCGCCATTTTTCGAAACGAGCGGGGTCTATGCTACAGGGCAAAGGCCGCAATGAGCGAAGGCAATGTTAGGCAACCCTACTTTGAAGCTGTTGGGGTCAGGTTTTGTTGGACGGCCACCTCGAACAAGTTTGCTCGATCTGGAGGCAGATCTAACTCATCCATGAGCTCCTGCACGTAGTGATCCTGAATGATAACAAGGAAGAGATCCTTTGAAATCTCAGTCTGTTCCAGCGCATCATCTTCTGCATAAACTCCAGTAACTCCTGGGCTGAAGCCTTGCACATTGCTCAGCTCCATGGAAGAAAGAACACCCAATGATTTGTCCTTCCCGTCATCGTATTCACGATACGCCGCTGCAAACTTCTTCACAAGCTCCCTTGCACAACGAGCAACGCGGATGGACTCGCGTGCATGCTGCTCTGCGTTTGCAGCGTCAGTTTCCTTTGCAGCTCGCATAGTTATATCTACATAGACTGCCAGGATGACATTGAAAATCCCCATGGTCACAAGCATGTAGCACACCACGTAGGTAAACACGAAAGCCACGCCGTATCTAAGTGCCAACATATGGGGCAATGGCTGACCTTTTTCACCGACGCACTCACCCGTAAAGCACCGGAATGCTGTAAACATGGAGGCGGGGATGTTGCGAAAATAGATATGCAGACCTTCCTCCATAAGGCCCTCGTCCCCACCAATGATCATTGTTGCGAAGCCTGAAATGACATAAAGCACTGCAAACAGTAATGTGAAGGCCAACGCCAGGGTCCGAAGCCCGGCGATTAGGCCCTTCACCATCAATCGAAGATCCTTCATTATCTTGAGGCGGAAGACTTTCACAATTCGAGCAAGCCTGATCAATCTTGTAAATCGCAGAAGACTCGTGCCAGCGATGTCTGTCATTTCCTGCTGAGCGAGCTGAATGACGACGTCAGCGGATGATGTTAAAGCCTCGTTGAGGCGGAGATGTCTGACGGCTTGTTATGTTCTACGCGGTGGCTTCGCTTGTTGCAGTTTGACAAAGCAGTGTTGCGAATTTGCACTAGACGAGGCTCATGAACTCACAAAACAAAAGCAATAAAAATAAACACGCTCCTACAGATGTAAATAACCTGTAGCTATTCAAATGCAACACAAGAATTCCACATCCAAACGCTTGGAACGAGCTGAAGATGAGGTGACCAAGCTTGGGTTGCGGCATCTTAGGTAGCATCTGCAAGAGTTACGCGCTGGTCTGCAATTACGGTGCTTCCCACCCCCCC